TATTCCTGGGTGCGCCCCTGTACATACATATATATGTATGTGTATTTAAAAGCACATTTCCAAGTGTTGTATGTTATGTAGTATGTGTGTTTATTTAGCTCATAATAGCCATGTCTTGTTGTCATATCACACTTCACTCTAATCTACTCTAATCTCTAAGAGCACAGATCGGGTAGTCCTTTCGTCCGGTTGGGTTCATCGAATTGCAGCAAAACCAGCTCATAGGTGACAATAGTGCCTGCCATCTGCATATAAAATAATAAGAAGAGCAAAAAGTGGGTAAGTCAGTATTTACATACATATCTATATACATATAAATATATGTATAGACGCTTCACTGTATTATGTTACATACATATGTATGTACATTAGGGTGGTCTTTAAATGTAGGAAGCAAATTTGTACATCAGATTACCTAAGCCTCAACCCCTGCGTCGATACTAGTATAGTCGAAGATATCACATATAAATTTTGGTCCCGATTGGAGATGGTTAAAGCGTGTCGCACAGAGGTCAAAGCGCAGATTACCCTATGAATACGCCTTAACCGACTACAGTCGGGACCAAAATTTGTATGTGATATCTTCGACTATGGTAGTTTCGATTTTGGGTATTTATTAGATGAAAAAAATAATAATTTTAATTTTGTGAGTCTCTGTAAAGGAATCAGTACTTTGGCCGCTGTGCGACACGCCTTAACCATCTCTACACTGGTGGCCCAAAGAGATAACCTCTGTCAAAGAGTAATGGTTTGCGGCCTTCCTGCAGAGATGTAAAGAAGCCACCAAAGAGGCCAAAAGGAAGGATTACAGCGAATGCATAGAGGAACAGTCGAAGGGTAATCGCTTGAAAACAAATGGCGGCCGGACGTCATCTCGTGAGTACATGCAAAAGTCTTAACAAGCGCGCACTTTGCAGGGTGTACTTCGGAACTTAGCAGCGCTTTTGTTAGCTCTGGGCGCCAATTGGTATCAGTGGGCTTCATTGCCTTACAAAAATACTTTGGAATCAGGGATGTGCGTCGATATTTTTTTCAGGTACGACCTAATGCACATACGTACATACCTATTTGTGGACATTTGACAAAACAATTTCTCTCTAGTGAGGACATTTTCCTTTCAAATATTTCTATTTTTAATCTTTATGAAAGTTAAATAAAATTTTTTCTTTTTAATTCGAACTTTCTTAAGTCAGTTTTACTTTAAATTCCAGCCTACAAAAAGCAGAGAAGTAGTATTGTCAAAAGTCCACAGATATCAACATTTGTTTGAATGCCACTGCCAAGCGGCTTCATGCAATTTTTTAATAAAAGAAAACATAGTACGTCCAACAATTAGGGTCAAATTCACGGTGTACTGAAAATCTGTAGTTAACTGCCGACTCTGAGTTAACTACACACTATGAATTTGGCCCTTAAACTCACCCCGAACAGCAACCTCCTTGTGAGAAAGTAGAATTTCTTGCCTGATAACGCCACCGTTGTAGTCGACATTTGAAATATTAGACGTTCCACCTGTTGTACATGGAAGAAATATCAAACAATTACTATCTAACTGTCAGGACGTAAACTAATACTAGTACTTGAATTATTTATTGAACTAATTAGTCTTCGCTTTAATTATGCAAGAAGGACGTATGGCTATTCACTTAGTTACCTACTTGCTTACTTGTAAGCATACATACATATCTATATTTTCTCACCTTTAACCCAGCGCATATTCATACTACCCTTGTCACTCACCTCGACACACAAAGTATTCGCTGGTATACGCCTCAGCACACTTAAAGCGTCTTTTGCTTCGTCATTGATGGATGCTGCTGTGAGAAAAACAAAAGTCGTACGTCCGATTAGGAAAAGTAGCGAAAACCAAAAGTAAACGTAATTAATTGGCCAACGTAATTTACTGTTGATGGCGTGCGCATGCACATAGCCGCAGACATATACAAATTTACCAAAGTATGTATGTACATTGGATGTAGCAAGCGTTGAAGAAAGTGAAAGAAAAAAGAAATGGTTGCGTGAAAAAGTAATTAATGCAAATCCTGCAACCAGCTTTTGGCTGTAACGGCTATACCCAAGTCCATCGTCATGTGTGTGTGTGTGTGTGTCTGAGCGTTTGTATGTAGATATGTACGATAGGATGTACCACAAAAAAACTGGTAAACAAAAAAAGAGTTCGCCATACACCGCTGAGTCTAAGGTATTTTTTGCAATTTCCTAAAATAAAAACATTTTTTTGGTCGAACCTAGAGGTCGCCCTTTTTACATTTTTCAATGAAACCGAATTCCGAACTAATGGCAATACTTTTTTTTTTAAATAGTTCTACTGAAATAAATAATTTAAAGATTTTTGGTGGGCCCTAATGTACTAACATTAAGGTGGTACGTTGGGTGACAGGTAACAAGTTCAACGGAAATAAGGTCAATTGACTTTATTTCGCACCAGGGTGGGAAATAAAGTCAATTGACCTTATTTCCGTTGATCTTATTACCTGTCACCGGTACGTTGGCGTGTTAAAATCTGTAATCTGGTGGATAAGTACTAGAACGGGCTACTGTAGGTCAATGAACTCTAGAACAGCGATATGTCATACTTTAAGCTTCGCCTGTTAATCCCAATGATATGACGAAAATGTAAAAATGCGACCCTACATTCGGCCAAAAAAATATGTTTCTTTCGAAATTGCTTAGCAACAATACTAAGACTCAAGGGCGTACGGTGAACTTTTTTTCTGGTACGATCTAATGTACAATTATGTGCATAAGCGAGTGTGTGTCCGTCTGTTACAAGCATTGCAGTGGAGACTCGCAGGCATGGCTACGAGGTTAGCCGAATATGTATTTTAAATCTCTTGTTTTACGAGTATATTTCGGCACTTTAAAAGCAATAAAATAATTTTATTGTCAACATTTGACAAGAAGCTACAGCCGCTTAACTGTTGCTGTTGGCAAATAATTAGTGTGTGAAAGTGTAACATGGGTACAGTCCTCAGCCTTAAGCTCCTTTGCATAAATACAGCATTTATCTTAATCCTCTTTTACATAATTGTCATTAAATATTTTAATTGCAATTACATAAATATATGTACATACATATATACCTATTTAAGTATTAAGGTAAGTACTTCACTTACTTGAAGATATTCAGTAGCTGGTAGCAAACGAAATATAAATTATTCGCACTGGATAGCAAAATTATGCCAGACAAATCCTCATCCACATACTCGAGTAATTCAATTAATTTAACATAGTGGTCTCGTATTTCCATAAAAATCGATTCAGGCACCTCCTGGAATAGGTGACAGGATTGCGAAAATTTAACAAAACTAATTAAGATAATGGAAGTACAGAAAGATGTTGTCGTACACCTATAATTATTACCTTATCGAGCAGCGTGTGTATGCGCATCTTCATTTGCTCAAATCGATATGCGATGCCTTTGCCTATCATCATTATGAAAAGATCCATGTAATTCCACACAAATGTGCAGACAAAATTCACTATCTACATATTTACGAGTACATAAAAGCAGATATATAAGTATTAGTTGAGTATTAGTAAGTCTACTTAGAGTTTAATTTGACAAATCAAATTTCGGATGGAACCACACGTCGAGTATGGGCATATCTATTTAAAAAATTTTGATTTTTTACGTATTTCAGAGAACTGTGGAAAAGATTTCCAGCATCCTACTTATATCTGTGGTTATTAGCAATAACCGCCTAAGTCAACTTAAGAAAGAATTTAGCTATATGTATATGTATATGATATCGTATTTTGCAACTACTAGTCCATGCGTATGTAAAATCCTCATCTCGTCAGCTGAAATATGGAAAAAATTATAGGCGAAAATATTTTGGTTTTCCCAATGGTCCATACATACATAAAAAAATAAAAATAAAAATAAAAATAAAATATTCCGACGAACCGATAACCTTCTCCTTTTTGTGAAATCGTTTAAAAATTAAAATCCAAATCTTTTAAGCGTTTTTTCTCGAATTCATGTTTTTCGACTTAGGCGGTTATTGCTTATGCCCAAAGATAGATATAACTAGTTTGCCCTCACCCGCTTCGCTGAGTGTATAAAATTTCTATCTGTTACATTAAGTGTAATTCGTTTCAATAAAACCTAGCATACTTAGGCTTAGCCAAAAACATAGATCATTTTTCACGTTTTTGTTTTTTTTTACCTTCCTTCAAAATATTTGCAAACTAAAACCATCCTTAAACCTCTTTCGTCTGACAACTGCATACCTAATTCCCTGAATTCAAGTTGTATTTGATTATTCTTTGAACAGATGGCAACCCTCCTACATGTATTTTAGAAATAAAGCCATTTCAAAACCATTTCGATTGATGCCCATGTTGTAGGAATTTATTTAACTTAATAAATAACCTGAATTGATTTTTTGCAAACAGGTGGCAACGCTCTTCGAACACCTCGAAAATATTTAATTATTTTTTCTAACTGCAACCTTCCTAAAGCCCTTTCATCTGACATCCATATTGTTATACATATTTCAATAATCGAATTCCCGTTTCAAGTTGAATTTGATTTTTTAACGGGGGGATGTAGTTTAGAAATAAGGTCTTGGAAAAACCATTTCTATCGATACTCATATTGGAATAATTCATTTAACTTGTTAAATAACTTGAATTGAGTTTAGTTTTCAAACAGGTGGCAACCCTCTTCGAACACCTCGAAAATATTTTGAATGTTCAAACTAAAGATTTCTCAATACCCTTTCGTTTAATAAAATTCGACTTTAAAAACGAGTGGCAATTCTATTCAAAATATTTGTGTTCCTAATCCATATTGTAGTACATATTTCAGTTAAATAATTAAAGTTTAATTTTTTTAAACCCTCACTCATCTTTTCGTTTGATACCCTTTGATTGATATTAGTTATATTAGCCCACTCAACTTATTAAAGAAATTGAATTTTACTTTTTAAACAAGTGGCAACCCTTTTAAAAATATTTGCAGGCTACAATCTTTTTAATCCTCTTTCGTGTGACACCCATGTTGTTATACATATTTCAGTTTAGGCAAATTAGTTAAAAATTAATTTTTATTTTTTAAAGAGGTAGCAACCCTCGCACATGTTCTTTAGGAATAAAGAATTTCCAAAACCATTTCGATTGATATCCATATTGTAATAATTAATTTAACTTAATTGAATTAAATTTTTTTAACACGTGGCAACTCTTTTCATATTCTAGCCTGGATATAAACCTGCTAACCGCCTGCGAGTTTCTACAATCGAGCCACGGCAACATAGAGTCTATCGATATCAAACTTTAAGCAACTTTATAAACAGGGTGTTCTAGATCACCAGTTCGCCCTCTCAAAAGGGAGGATTTTTTGTTTTGGAAAAGGCAAGTATTTATATATGAACTTCCAAGTAAGTGCATCTATATTTTTGTCATATTACCGACTTCCGGTTTCTACCGTAATGGGGTTAAACTGACCGGAAGCCCATTTTGTAAATGGGATATACAGTTCAATGACGTTCGAACTTCAAATATTCCTGGGCTTCTAAAATGGACGGAAATGTTTTTAGTACAAACAAACAAATATTAATCTTCAAGTCGGAGAAGCTCTATCTTTTTTGTTCGTTTTACCAACTTCCGGTTTCGACCCAAAGTGGTTTAAACCAACTAGAAGCATATTTTATTATAAAAGCATTTAATTTTTTCCATAACCGATTTATGAATTTCAACCGAACTCGGACACTGGAATAGGAGACAGGAGAGTCGGAGGAGAGGTTTACTGTCGGGAACTCTCGATAAATCTTATGTTCAGACTGCCGGACCTCTGTAGTGTCTTTCAAGCAGAGGTGACCGCTATAAACGAGGCAGCCGATTGTCTATGCACCAACCTCTTGCCAACTAGGAGGGTAAATATCTACTCTGATAGCCAAGCGGGATCGCTTATAGTACGATCGAAACTGGTCGGGAAATGCCTGACCTCCCTCCCAAGTGCCTCGGAATACTTCCAAATCAAGCTTATTTGGGTACCGGGACACAGTGACATAACTGGAAATTGCAGGGCTGATGAATTGGCTAGGCTGGGCTCCCTCGAGTTTGTCGAGTCGTCCCACACGTGGGTTCTTCTGGTCATCTTTTGTTTGCCTTCGAGACGAAGTATGTCCTGAACCATGTCTTGGAGGTAGGTAAATCGTTAAGGACTTTCGTAAATTCTATCACAGTTATTGAGGAGATCATACAGCAATGTAGTGACTTGATAGCTGCTTGTCTTTCGCAGTATATAGTTACTGAAGGACGGTTAAAAGAAAGTGCGATAAGCCAGAATGTAGCCGCTTTTATAGCCGCGTATTCTGCTTGGAAGACACTACAGTGGTCTGGTAGCCTAAAGCAGAGTTCTAATGAGTAACGTGACAGAGTATACAGAGATAACTACATTGAGGGTTTTTGTGTATCTACTCCGTAAACACTCAGGGCTGGTTGTTCAATGTCTGGTTATCAGTACTTGCCGGTTAAACATCATTATCGACGTTTTCGACATCATGCACATAACATGTGATCGATAAAGCAGTCTTTGTATTTAAGCGGAGCTTCTACCCCCGACTTGTGCTAATCAGACATTGAACAACCGGCCCCTATTTAAACAGTTAAGGCGGATTCATCGTTTTAGTTCAGAACTTTTCTTCCATGTGTTTGTTGTTGCGTTTCTCTCTTTGGGAAGAAAAGTTCAGAACTAGAACGATGAATCCGCCTTTATACCGGTATCAGAAATTTTTTCATCTACACAGCCAAATACATACATATTTATGTATTCACAACGCAATGGCTTAAATTTTGTCAAATCCACTTACCAAAATAAGGCAACCAATAAGCGTTGACTTCGGCAACAATTCAAATACGTAGTCATAGTTTCTGTAAGCGAATTCTTCGAAAGTGAAAGGAATAGTGATATTCTGAGCGGCACCACATAGTAGTGCTCTACGATATTCAGAGTATATAGCTGACATAAAATAAAATATATGCTCCACTACATTATGAAAAGAAAAGAAAAAATTTTATTAATAATGATATGTTAAATTGCAATAGGCAAACCTGCTGAGAATGCAATTACTGCGTATGCAGCACGTCGCACCCGAGTCGACAGATTTGTTTTGGGCATTTCGTAAGGTTTTCGTACGAATATCATTTCAGTGCGAGTCCAAAAGCGAATAAGGCGTGGCCAACGGGGCGCCAGCGTAAAGAAGAGTATCGTTGATGATTGCGCACATGTAAAGAAGACGAAACCGACTGAATGAAAGAAAGTAATCGAATCGTTTTTTTTTTTATGGAACAAAAATGAAAAATAATTTAGTAAATTGTGGTGGAACGAAAATAAATAAACATTAACAATCTTACCTAAATTTTTCGCGTCTACCCCAATTTTTGCCAAATGTTTTATCATTGCAAAATTAAACGTAGAACTGGCGAACAAAAATATCAATGTAATCATCACTTGTATGGATCGGAATGTAAAGCGTACTTGACGCGGATTCGAATGGCCAACACCACGAACAGGCATCAGCGAAAAACATTGACCTATAATGAGTACTAAAGAAATCATATTATTTTAAAAGATGTGTTTAACAGCTGATTTTTGTTTTATAATTTATTACATATTTAGTGCTTATAAAAATCTTTATATGGTTTATTGGAAAACCAAAAAGATTAAGTTATTTGAAAATCCGTTTTGATAGTTAAATATATATTTTTTTTTTAATAAAAGTTAAAAATTAAAAACATATCTATCCAGTTTCTTTGTATATTTGTTCCAGTAACATATTTACCCAGTGTGGTACCAGCAAGCATTGCTATGGCCTTCACCACTTGCAAGCTGCTTTTAAGAGAATTTATCTACATACATGCATATATGTATGTATGTACATGCGCAAGCGAGAGTTGGATGCAAGCAACGACCTGTCGAATTTCTAGGCAAACTTAGCCCAGGTCGGTGCATATATGGCACATATGCCGAAGTTGCAAACACTATTGTGAGGAAGAAATAGTTCTTTATCTTCTCTGTAAATGCGCAGCAGATTCCGCTTTCTGGGGTTTATTTTTTGTTTTTTGTAACCTTGAGGAACTGGGAGATATACATAAATCTTATACGCCTAACGAGTTTCGTCAAGGATTCAAAATTGTTTAGCAAGGGGGAGTAACACAGCTCCAAGTCGTGGTATCACAAAGGACATTCAACTCGTGACGTAAGTGTGGCCCTGCTAAGCAGTGGCAACCATACCTACCTAATACCTTTCGACATTTTCTCTGACATCCAGGCAGTAAAATGGCGCTGTATTCAAAAGTAATACCTGAATGCCACCGATCTCGCAACGGGATTTGTGACAACAAGGAAAACTGTAAAGCTTAGAAGCTTTCTCGTCAGGGCCCAACGCTACCTGTTACCTACATACATATGTATGTGTAGTATGTATGTATATACCTATATATGTATGTATATTAGGGAAATGCTTGGTATTTTTCCGGAAGCATGCAATCGTATTCTTCATGAAACATTTACAGGAATTGCAAATGAATGATGCCGAATGGAACTCTTTTGTCACACTTTGTGCTTTATTGAATTCTCTACGCACAATTCTCTATTTAATCCAAGGAGGTAAGACATCCCAATAACTACAGTGATGTTTACCGGATATTGTGTGATAGGATCACATGCGTCTAGACTTTTGGCATCGTTTTTAATGCATACATTCATATTCATATTCATTTGGCATGTTTAGTGAAACGACATATATTTGAGATGTCAAAATAAAAAGTTCGTTCGACATAAAATGCATGTTTTCTTCCCGTTGAAAATCCTTTCAAGAACAATATTAACAAAACTTTTTCCTTGGAAATTTTTGTAACGTAACGCCAGGTAACGTTTCGTCAGATAATTCAGCTGATTAAACATAAATCAGAAAAGATTCTAAATTTAAAAACTTGGAGAATTAACCTTAAGACAATTCCAATATTACTACAAAAACGTCACGCCAGCGCGTGTGTTTACTAATATCGCTACTACCAACAGTTGTATCTTTTTACTGAATAAAGAACAATTTCATTGCTTTGCAAATCTAGAAAACCCTTTCTCAAATTTTGACTTTTTCGATATATTTTTTTTTTTTAGATTTAGTCGTACGAGTGTCACGTAACGTCAGAATTGTAATACCCATATAGCAAGGTTCTATCAAAGCAAACAAATGTTTTTTTTTCGAATATTAAAAATTTCACAATATCTCAAAACCTATTATTGTTACAAAAATGTTTGTGTTCATGTTCTAAATTTATATTATTTTATTTATATTTAAACAAAAAATTCTATACAAAAAAATAGTTACAGAATTTAGAAATTTTAAAAATCGTGAAAGCAAATTTTTGGCTCAATTTTTGTATGCACTATAGCCGCTGGGGCTGGGTGGTTAGAAGTGCGTACTACCACTCCGTAGGACTTGGGTTCGGTCCACAGTCTGGATAATTTCTGGATTAAGTAGAAACGTTTTTCCCAACAATGAGCGCCAAAATAGTACACTTTATATCTATCTTATAAGATCCAGAATTTTTTTTTAAGATAAGAATTTTTTTATGAAATTAATTTAAATTAAATAAAAGTGGTTTAGCATAAGAGCTCTTGTTAGTCGACGAATCGATTAGTCGAATAGCAAAAGTTGTTTCAAGAAATAATCGACTTCACTAAATCGACTAACCGTTTCCTTGCGACTGTACATTTTAATCAATTTTTGTTTATGTAATTTCTTCTTAATATCCCTTAAAACGAGCCCAGAACCATATTTTTAGTTATTCAAAAAATAGTCTTGCAAAATCGCGGAAATTGTGAAATTTAGAATTCTGCATAACTTTAGAAAAAATAAAAAATTTTGTTTTGCTTTGGCAGAGCTTGATTGACACGGATTCACTCATATGTAAATTCATATGCAGTAGTTTTTCCACATATACATAAAATATACTTACTTGGACTAATAGCACGATGAAATATATCCAATTTGCTATAGTCTGTGTGTATGCTTGGCTTAATGTAATGGAAATCTTTCTCCAGAAGAGTGAAATATTCAATTGGTGTACGTCGCCCCATCAATTTGATTGCATTAATGTCGACATCCTCTAAATTTTCTACCACCAATTTGTCATTGGGAATTTTCAAGGTGGCACTTTTATCTTTTTCACCTGACTTTTTCGCTGGCTTCACATGATTTTTTTGAAAAACTTTCTGATGCTTCATTATTATTTCACGCAATTTAGTGCGGCTAAGCATTTTCAATTTGGTATAAAATTATTCACTAACCAGCTTAAATAAATTATTTTAACTAGTTTTGATAACGAAATCTGCATATAAATAATATCTACATCCATATATAACACCTGTTTTCGTTGTGAATGTGGAACTACGAGTGCATATCAGCCGAATGAGAAACTTATAATAAATGTTATTCACGGGAAATCTGTAGCAGCATGTTTTTTTTTCTGTTTAATAAAAACAGCAAAATATGGGCGGACCCGTACACATACCTACACAACTAAATATGTATGCACATTGTACTTATTAGAAGTGTTTAAATTTTGCGCATATTTACACGTGCTTGATGTGTTCACGTACGAGTATGTATGGCTGTGAAAATATGAATGAAAAGGCGGATATTTTAGTGTCGGTAGTATTTAAAGGACTCCCATGCATTGAAAAAACCTCACTTAAGGTAGCCAGATTAAACAAACCAAAACTAGTGATCGCCCAGCGGTTGAAATTCAAACACTGCAATTAAGGTGATGTGGGTTGAGATGAGTTGAAGTGAGGTTAGTTAGAGTTGAGGTGAGATTACGTGAGTTGAGTAGAGTTGAATTGAAGTGATTTGGTTCGAGTTAAGGTGAGATAAGGCAAGTGGAGTTGAGATAAGGCAAGAGGAGGTAAGGTAAGTTGAGATGAGATGAATTATGGTGAATGGAGGTGAGGTGAATTGGACTGAGACGAGCAACAGAATATGATATAACAAATCTAATTTACTGTTTTATCTTTTTTTGCCTCTTTGTCTATTTCCCTTTCCCTATCTTTGTCTCTATCTTTATCTTTATACTGATCTTTACCCTTATCTTTATCTTTACCGTTTTTCTTTTCTTCATCTACATACACATTCACCTACACATGAGGACAAGTTAAGAATTTTAAATTTACTTTCATCTTTCTCTTTATCTTCTACGTTGAGGTGAGTTTGAGTGAATTGAGGTGAGGTGAAATGAAGTAAGTCGGAACTTTGTAAATTTATCTTTATCTGTATGTACCACGATGTAGAGAAAAAGGGTGACGCCCATCTCGGTACCGCTATTCTGCGCCCAGTGAATTTGACAGAGTCACTGTTTACGTTTTTCTTGCAAAATTGCCTCTTCTTCCATTCTTGCTCGCGTTTTTGGCACTTCTCTCTCCCAAAATGCACCAGTGTGATGTCACACAAAAATTATTTTCAAAAATCCTCTATGATGAGCGCAATCTTGTATTCTATCATTCTTTTCTATGTTCTTATGAACACAATATTAGAATCCATTATCGGCGGGAAATTAATCTAATGCATTCGGTCAACGTTGCGTGATTTAGAATCCTTTTGGCTTTTAAATCCGCTTTTAATTCAAAAAATTTATTTGATTTGTAATTTGATTCATGGAACAAATTAAAAAAAAAAATTATTTATGATCTGATTCCTCTACCAAATATAAAAATTATTTATTTGTGACTTGATTCGGCTGACAAATAAAAGGTAGAATTTATTTATTAATTTATCAACCAAATACATTTTTATTTGCGATTCCATTTGTCGAGCAATTCAATTTAATTCGATATTTTCCTACCAAGAAATACTTTTTTTATGCAACGCAGGCATGATTTTCAAGTTTTTCTCATCTGTGTATGCTCCTAAGTTGTTATAGTGTATCTAATTTCTGATTCGAAATCAGCATCAGAAAGAAAAATTCATTTGGTCGTCAACTCGAATTAAAAATAAAATTAATTTTTTATTTGGTCGCGGAATCAAATCCCAAATAAATTTAATTTTATGTATATTTACCTGACGAATCAATTCACAAATAAATTTTATTTTTAATTAATAAATTTATATTACTACGAATCTCATACAACTTTCAGTTCAGATATTAATTTGATTTTTGGATTTATGTTTTGGCTGATTCCAAATCCTGCAACCTTGCTTTCGACGAAATCCTATCCAGCGTCTGAAAAAAAAACCATAATTTAAATTTTGCTGCTTTACAGCAAATTCAAAAACACAATAAAAAACATTTATGAATTTGTCTTTCTTTTCTTTTTTTTTCTTTGACAAGCATTCATAGATGATCTTTTAAACTTTAGTAGAGATATTTTTTCTCTGTAACAGCGATCTGAATGCATCTGACACGACAAAACAAAGCATTTAGTGCATTTATAAATTCTTTGCTTCTGGTCACCTTCATTAAAATATATATGTACGTACATGCGCTTGTGTAAAGCATAGCTAAGCAAATTTGCAAAGCACTTAAGTGCATATTAAAGGCAATAATACGCTGCCTACACTTGCGTGAGACCTCCTACCTGTGCGCCTTATCGAATTTTTTTCAGCTAAGATCAATAATCCAACCAAACGATTCGAAAACATATCATTTTTAAATATTGTTCACTTCATACATAAATCATTTACAATTTCGCCTATTTTTACACGTGAAATTAATATGTACATAGTTTGTAGGGAGAATTCGATATTAAATATTTGAACAAGTAATTAAGTATGTATAGTATATAAATTAGAGTGGTCCAAAAAAAGTAAAGTTGGAATTTTAATTCTTCTCTCTCCATTCTTAAGAAGTCCATTATATAACAATTTTAGGTGGAAAAAGAAAAAAATGTAAACCCACTATTTTGAAAGTCATTTGAAAGGTTAAAGTAATTATTTTTCCAACGAAACTGTTTTTTTTTTTTTTTGAATTTTCCATCTGAAAATATCTAAAGTAGTACTGTTAAATTTATTACGTTAGCGGGTCTCATTTTCAATACATTCGATTTTGTCACTAAACAACTCATTTTGCCCACTGTGCGACGTAATCGTATTGGTTTTGCGCAAATACCAAATTTATACACGGCGTCGTTGAGGAAGCTTCCCTTCGCGCTATCAAAAGCGACTTTAAAATCGACTAGAAGGTGGTGTGTGTCGATTTGCTTATCTAGCATATTTTTTCCAGCATTTAACGCACTTTTAAAATTTGGTCAATGGTGGATCTGCCAAGTCTGAAGCCATAGTAAAGGTTCGGGAAGGGCTTCAGTCCTTCAAACAGTATTGTAGATAGCAACATATATACGCACTGCTAAGAAGGCTTATTCCGCTGTACCTGGCGCAAACAGCATTCGTCAGACCAAACTTAAAAGCTGATGCATGCTCTCTATTACTAGCTCTTCGCTGTCGACTTCGAACTTTTAACTTGTTCTTACATCGTCTCCCGGTATCGCTCAACTATCGCTCGCGTTGTTATTGGCTTAAGGATGAGTTGGTATGATACATATTTCTCTGCAGCAGCCACACGAAGCTCGAGTGTTATTACAACGTTATATATATGTGACCTGGTCTATGAAAAGGGAGCTTACGTGCGAAAACTAGTTTTCTGTGAAAAAGCTGTTAAAAGTAAGCAACTCGTTTCGTTTACTCGTTTTTACTCTTCTTTCTCTACATTTTTAGTACACTTCTAAGCAAGTTAGGATTTTCTGCTTTTCACCACGTGAAAAAGCATCTCATCTTCCATCCGAATCAACCAAAAAGTGAAAATTGATTTTTTGACACCTAAGCTCCCTTTCCGTAGACCAGGTCACATATATGCTAAGTGGTTATTGCAATCACCGATTCTAAGTGAATTAGCTTCTGTAGCTACTGATTTATCTCAGTTTTCGTGTTTCTGTAAATTACCGTCATATGGGAGGTAGGGGTGGTTATTTCCCGATTTCGAAGATTCCTCAGCTGGACCCTAAATAAGGCTCTTACCGAGTTTGGTAAGGATTGTTGAAGGGGCTACTGAGATACACCATTTCATCATAAGTGATCGGAGTCATGCCCATTTTCCAAAACTTTCATAATGCATAATAATATTTTGTACCAAAATTCTACTTCACATATTAATTTTCAACAATTTTCATCGAATATTTACGGAAATATCGTAGTTCTTGCATTTTTCGAAAATACCGTTATATGGGAAGTGGGCGTGGTTACAGTCCGATTTCGCTCATTTTCAATACCAACCTACCCTGGATAAAGGGAAACCTACATACCAAATTTCGTTGAGATATCTCAGATTTCCCTATTCATTCTGAGCATTTATGTTTATATTTGTCTATATATATCTCCATTCCTTTTGGCTGTTACAACCTTGTGCACAAGTGCGCTCGGGTATCTATATATATGTTACCGGCCAAACCCGATCTTAGGACAAACTAATTTTTCCTAGTCTAAACTAGCTCTAACTAGATCCGATACATCCATCCAACGCGGAATCAAATTGGACGCAACAATATTGTGGACTGCGTAGTTGGAGTTGGACTGATGAGGGTTATTTTTTTTAAGAGCGGCCGAAGGCCCCTTACGCAGAAAGGAGTTCTTCTCAAAAATACTGTGGCGCCTGTTCTAGTTTAGCCTAGTCAAAACTAGTTTGTCCTAAGACCGGGTTTGGTCGGTAATACATATATAATAGGCGAAGGCATTTTATGTTCAGGATAAAAGATCTGCAAATTAAATCGCTTCGCCTGTAGATGTGCAAACTGGTTTTATTTTATGGATTAGAGTTGCCAGCTGTTGAACAATTAAATTCAAATTATTTAATAATCAATGCCATCATATCCGCACCGTTCGTTTGATTTTCCAAAATGAGGTGTCAAATTTAAAGGCTTGGACTGCAGATGTGCTGTAATGTCTTGCTTTTTTTAAAAGAGTTGCCACCCTTTGAAAATTATATTCAAATTATTTAAAAAATAAATCACTTATTACAAATTGGGTATTAATCAAAATGGTTTTGAAAAGCTTTATTTCTTAACTGAACTATATGAGGGTTGCCACCTGTCCAAAAAATTAAATTCAATTTGAATTAGGTGAATTAGGTTAAGGAAATATGTATCACCATGCCAAACGTAAGGGGTTTCCGAAAGTAGTAGTTCGAAAATATTTCAAAGACTGTTGCCACATGCTTGAAATGTCGAATTTAGTTTGCTTATACACAAGTTTATGAAATATCAAAATATGAATG